ACTGAACTCTGCATCTCAGTCTATACGTTCAAAGTGAGTAACACAAGTATTTATTTATTGTGGCTTGATGATGAAAACAGATGCGGGCAGCATGTCATTGAGTACACAATGGCTGCTAAGACAGTCCTGTGTCGGAGATTGAAGGATTCATTCTGGAGGAATGTGTTTTGATAAAAGTGGCCTCTTATAGGATGAGATATTGACTTCCCTTCTGAGGTTTTTGAACTGCTTTGCTGAATAATTCTAGGAATCAGCAGTTTTCAGGACCTGGGTAGAAATAAGCATTCTAGTTAATAATAATAATAATGATAATAAACAGCATTTATATAGAGCCCTATATAACTTGTAAAATTACTCTAAGGCGCTTTACTACATATGGATAATAGAAATGGTTATAATTGTGAAAACAGACAACAAAGGCTTGCAATCACTTTCATACATTTAACAAGCAATGTGCACATAATTGAACAAATAAAAGGGTGGTATTTACATGATGTCTTTGCAAAGATTCTAAAATGCAGACGTGAAGAGGTGAGTTTTTATGTCCCTCTTGAACTTGGCAAGGGTATTTGACTTCCTAATAGCAGATGGTAAGCTATTCCACAACGTAGCCGAAACCCTCCCAAAGCATCTGTTTCCGTAGGTCACAGTACGAGATTTTGGGACACACAACAAAGATTCTGACTCCGACCGCAGTGATCTTGACTGCTGATACAGGGTAACAAGTTCCTGTAGGTACTGAGGAGCTGTTCCATTCAGTGCCTTGTATGTGTATACCAGAATTTTGTACTGCGACCTGTATCGTACAGGTAACCAGTGCAACGAATAAAGCGCAGGTGTGATGTGCTCTCTCTTTCGAGTACGAGTAACTAGCCGTGCTGCAGTGTTCTGAACCCTCTGCAGACGACTAGTTAGTTTGTCAGATATACCACAGAGCAGGGCGTTACCATAATCCAACCGAGAGGTAACAAGTGAATGCACCAAAATCTTGCATGCATCTGCAGTTAGAAACTGCCGAATACAGCCGATGTTCCTGATCTGGTAGTAACAGGATTTGGCAATAGCGTTCACTTGTTTCTCCATGTTCAGAGAACTGTCAAAGTATACCCCTAGGTTTTTAACAGCTGGAACAGTCTCAATAGTTCTGGCACCAACCTTGAGCTGGAGAGCCATTGTTTGCTGACACTTTGGGGAAAAGACGATTAGTTCCGTCTTTTCCTGATTAAGTTTAAGCATGTTGGCGTTCATCCAGATACTGATATCTGTCAGACAAGCTTCCAGACTTTCTGAGACTGTATTCCAACTGTCCTGTGGTTTTATGACCATGTAAATTTGTGTGTCATCAGCATAGCAATGATAGCGAAGGCTATGGCGACGACAAATCTCTCCAATCGGTTTGGAGTACATACAATATTTTCGTGGTCCTAACACCGACCCTTGAGGAACCCCGAAATCTAGTACTTTGTCATGTGAGGTGGCAGATCCGATGGCAACACACTGTCGTCGTTCACTCAGGTATGACTGTATCCAGCATAGTGCGGTATCAGTCACTCCATAAGAGTATTCCAGACGTTTATAAAGTATGCCATGGTCGATGACGTCAAATGCAGCTGACAAGTCCAGCATGACAAGCACCGCTCTGCACTTGTTGTCCGATGCAGAAGCGATATCACTATGTACACGTAGGAGGGCCGTCTCAGTAGAGTGTCCCATGCAGTAGGCCGATTGCATGTTGTCATGGAGACTGTTCGCATGGAGATGAACCTCTAAACGCCGGGACACAACCTTCTCCAAGATCTTAGACAGAAAAGGCAGATTTGAAACTGGGCGGTAGTTTTTCAACTCCTCCTTGTCCATTCCAGGCTTTTTTAACAATGGTCTGACATGTGCCTTCTTGAAACATAATGGAACCTTTGACTCAACCAATGATTTGTTCATGATTGCGGTAATCAAAGGAAGCAGTGCTTCAAGACATTGCTTTAATAGGTCTGTAGGCAGTGGATCAAGCTCACAGGACTTCGATTGCGAGGTCATGATAATGTTGCGCAACTCGTCTTGGGTTGTTGGTGAGAGCTTTGTAAATGGTTCCCCATCAAATGCAATGTCAGCAGTCATGACAGAGATGTCAATGTCAGCAGAGGTGTTCACTTCCGTAATATTTTTCCTGATTGAGCTGATTTTATTCAGAAAGTAATCACTGAACTTGCTTGCTAAGTCTTTTTCAGAATTACAGCTTGGTAGGATAATTTCACCTTTCTGTCCCATTAGGTTTTTGGTGAGTCTAAAAAGTTGTCTTTTATCCTTGCCACATTCTTCATTTTTTTCCGAATAATAAGCCTTCTTTGACTGAAAGAGCAGTGAACCAACTAGCCGACATTGCTCTCTATAAATCAGTTGGTGAACGGTTAATTTGGTCCATCACCATGCACTGTCTCTCTGCTTGTCTACGTTTCTGTTTTTCCACGCGGAGATTTTCATTATACCACGGGGCGTTTGGTCTCACAGTTATCACCTTAGTTTGCAGAGGTGCGTGTTTCTCTATAAGGGCTTCTATACCAAATGTGTATGCTTCAACAAGATCATCAACCTTGCTTTCAGTAGATTGAAGGGCGGAACAAGACAAAATGTCATTGTTGAAATCTGGTATTGAAATTTCGCGGAATTTCCGGAAGCTCACTTCTTTTCTTGCACGAGCTGGCTTACTACATACAATTCAGTGTTGTATGGACAGCAAGATGATAACCAAATTGGTTCCCCTTTACATCACTTCGACATGGATCAATGACTGAAATAGCTCCATGAATGACTGAGTTATCTTCCCTCGTTATGACCACATCCAGTGTGTGGCCATGGGTGTGTGTAGCTTCCGTCACATGCTGAATCAGACCCCTGGAATCTAGTAGACCAGAGAACTGGCGAGCATCAACATTAGATGGATTGTCTAAGTGGAAATTTAGATCACCCGTGATAATAATCTCTTGTGGTACAACAACTTCGTGGTCTAAAAAGGTACACCATTCATCAAAAAACACTGTATTTCGGAAAGCATTCTGTTTAGATGGTGGAGGCCTGTAAATGATACACAATATAAATTGTTTATCACCAGCAATGACAGAACAAGTCATGTGCTCGAAGTGTGTGTATACATCATCATGGCTGGAAGAGAGATGTCTCACACTTAGGCCTTTTTTAAACAGAACAGCCACCCCACCACCATGTTTGCTGAGTCTAGCATTGTGGTGGAATTTATAGCCTGTTGGTATTAGCTCAGCTAGGACCTGGTCATCGATATCTGAACCTAACCAGGTTTCTGTCAATGCAAGAATGTCATTGTCCTGAGATGTAAACAAATACATTGGGCTGTATAGCACTATCATAAACTTTGACCAAATTTTGATGGATCAACAGGCATCTTGTCTAGAGTTTGATAGAAACAGATGGCCCAGTCAGGAATTTGAGGGAAACGGAAAGTCCAGTCAAGAGTTTGCTAGATACAGGTGATCCAGTCAAGAGTTTGCTAGATACAGATGTTAATGTCAAGAGTTTGATAGATACAGGTGATCCAATCAAGAGTTTGCTAGATACAGGTGATCCAATCAAGAGTTTGCTAGATAAAGATGTTAATGTCAAGAGTTTGATAGATACAGGTGGTCCAGTCCAGTCACTGGAGTGATAGCAGTTAATGTCCAGTCAGATTGTGGTTGTGAAAAATTCAGGCTGTTCATGAAAGCATTGCTGTGCTGTTATTAGATGGTTTGTTTGTGATGGGACATTCAGAGTTTATATAAGGGTCAATTTATGGCTTTAAAGCTGTTCATTATTGCCATGGGAGAGAAGTTTTACTAGCAACAGTTGACAAAATGGACAGTTGAAAACATGTACATGAAAGATTGAAAATCCAGTTTGTTGTCCATTTAATGTAGACTATAAGGTTAAAACACTGGATTAAGCACCGTTTTGATTCCTCGAAGACTAGATATGGTCCCAGGGGTAAGGTTAGGAGGTGGATGGTCGTGGTATGATGGGTGTTTGATAGTAATAGTATACCCATAATGAGTTTGTCAGATACCAGTTCTAGTCACAGGCAAATACAAGTCGGAGCCACAATCAGCATCCGTGATCAATACATTCTGGTCGCCCTTTGGTGTACATTTTACCCATCCCTATATTGGTAGAGAGTCAACAGAATCATTTAACAGTGAATTTATGTATACACAACTGGTGAGGTACAACACCACCGTTATTGAGGTACCATTTCACCGCTGAATGAGGGCTTCGTCAGGTACACAAAACGCATGCCAATTAGCCTCCTACATCATGCTTTCAAATTTACTTCAATTAAGTTAATTCTGGATTTGGAATTGAAAGCTACAGCAGTTGAAATATTCTTTGCGTTGTTTGGGATCGTAAAAGAAGAGTTACAAGATACAATCTGTGTGATTATGTAAATAAGTTGCAATACAATGAATGTGTATGAAGTTCTCCTCTCAGCACATACTGTGGTATCGGAATGGTGGATCATGAAACTTTACACGTGTTACATCTGTACTTGATGGTACCTGGTCTGGTGCTGTGTTATTTATGTTGTAAAGCTAGAAGGCTGTTTACATTTTGGAAATGTATACTTCATATTAGACTTTGTTATTATGTATACCAAATCTTTTCTCATGTTTTGCTAAATTCTGGAGAGAAAAAAAAATGCCGTCTGCACAGAGCATCAATGCTTCCATCAGCTTTATAAGAGAACATATTTTATTGTGTGTATCGAGTGCTGCTCACTGCTGGGGAAAGCTATATAGATGTAGGAGGTTTCCACTTGATGGAGTTTGTTCTCAGATTTTCTCTAATCATTGAAGACATGTTGTTGGATTTTTACTGTTTTTACTGGTCGATAGACAGTTTCTCTCTCAACGGTGTGTTTTTGTGTGAACTTTTACACTGTATGTGTTTTTAGTATTGTGCTTTTATTGCGTAAATGAAAGATATAAAAAATCTCTGGAAAGTAATTTCTAAAAAATTCTACGTCATGAATACGAACCAAAAAAATCTGTTGTGGTATTATCTAGTTTGATGTTTGCATGCCATTGCTAATATTGGCCCTTTTTATGTTTCTTAAACTTATCATCATATGAAACTCTGTCAGTCACAATTGAAACAAAGGTAGCATCACGTCGGTTATGATCAAGGTCTATAGCTGTTGCTACATCAAAAACACGGGCATAAGGGCGGAGACATGATAGAGCACAACGTCAACACAGAAAATCTATGTAAACTTCCAGTGGAGAAAACGACTGGCATAGAAGCAGTGGATGAAGTGGCACTGGATGTAAGGTGGCAAGGAGAATTAACATTATGTTGTCGTGGCGATAATTTCATAATGGCTATGGGTGAGGGGAACTATGGTGACATAAACCTGGAAAATTTTGTAGCGTGTTGTCTCCTTGTGTGGTTGGGAACTGTGTTGGAGAAGAACACTGTGGTTATACTGGGTGCTGTGGAGTCAGACCCTGTGATGGCGTATTAGATGGATGCTCACCTGGGCCAGTCGTTCCAGGACGCGATTTGTGGGGCGCTGGTAGCCACCATGTGTTACCTCAACACTAAACGGCCGCACTTGCTCTCGGATCACCACTTACCCATTACACAAGCACAGCCGGTAAACAGTTTGCTTTAATTGTTAATCATTTATAAGATTACTGTATGTAACAATTTAATTGTTATTTGAAATGTTATGTCAAGTTTTTGGTGTGTATCGTAGAACATGTAATTTTGATAGAACGTTTGGTTTGATAGGAATATTCATTGTGTTGCATATCCTTTTGTCGGCCCCCATTGTATAGAAGGTGACATCCATAAAGCATTATTCTGTGTGAAAAATGGGGTCCTGTCACCATCATAAACAGGGCGATGATTGCACCATATATATATTTGATGCAAAAAAACACCCAAAAACGTAGTCGTAGTCCTGATAGACACTATCATGCATGATTGGGCGACGGCCACAAGGGTATACGGTAAGTTTATGACAGACCTATAACCATAGGCTTAATTTCTGTATTGTTAACTCCAAATGATCTACTAGTCTGTGATAATGGGATGGGACTAAAATGCTACAAACTTATAATGGTTGTGTAGAAATCGGGCAAGTTGCCATCTAGCAGATTTGTGAAACATTTTCATTCATGGTACTATGACAACATTTCTCTCATAAAACTAAATGTGAAAACAACACATTTTCACTAAAATTTCTATAATGTGATCTTGAATTATTGTTAAGGTTCATCTTATAAATGATAGAAAATATGAAAAGTTTGCATCAGATTTAAAGAACAGGTTGTCATATTGAATAAGTATGTTTCATTTAATATTTCATGATCTTGCAGTGAGGCAGGAAAATCATTATGTTTAATGAATTAGTAATTTGTAGATCTAGGTAGACATTATATAAGGGAATGTGCTGCTAAGATCCAGAGCAGTGTAACTTTATCAGATGTTCTTTACCAAGATAACCTTTAGAAAGACTCTCAAAACTTGTTACGTACAGATATGGTCTTTTGATAGAGTATTAATATATAGCAAACAGTATTGTGGCGACTAGAAAACAGTGGTCTCTTAACACAAATGGTCTCTTGGAGTATTATTATGTAGAGGCAGAATTGTGCTTTGTACTTATGAAAAATATATTGGTTTTTCCAGTGCTTTAATCGTTGAATATATATTTAGAATTCAACGGGAAACCATTAAATATTCTGTTTGTTATATTTTTACAGTACATACAATGACTGAAATATTACTTCATCAGATAAGCGGGGGAATTTACAGCATAATATTTCACGTCATTTTCTAATGGCATCACCATGACAACAAGGTTACATGCTATTTTGAGCGCAATTACGCCATTTTCTGCCTAATTATCTGGTAAGATAACAATGATTTTGTAGTTTAATGAATACCTTAATTGTTTACCAAAAACGTTCACAAACAACAGTTTATTCTGTCGGCACTTTATCTACACCTGAACAGAATAACTGCTGGTTTGAATGCAGTTAATAGGAAGTACCATTCTGATTGGTCAATAGTAAAACGAATATCTTCACACTATGAAAGATGTTAATATCTGTCCCATTGTAAAAGGTTTCAGTTTTATCAAGGCGAGAGTTTAATATCTTACTTGTAAAAAGTAACAAAGTCAGTAAAATGCTTTGTGGGGATGTACAAATTGTGGTCTCTTAAGTGAGGGGTGGTCTTATTGGATGATATCTCAAACAGATTCCTTTTTATAGTGAAGGTACAATATATAATATATTAGTAATTTAATTCATGGTGTAACCATACTTTTTGAAATTGGCCTCTAAATTTAAATTGCAACATGGCTATGTTCATTAGGTCACTTTTTGCTAGAACGAGGTAGTGATTCGCTTTGCTGTCTGGTTTGTATTTATAGGCACAAAGACCAAGTTATACATCCTGTTTTTTAAAGTCACCCTACACTTAAGGCAGTCTGCCGCATCAGCTGATTTTACTGGCTAAACTAGTCTTTACATCGCCGTCGTAAATGATTGTGAAAGAAAAAAGTGTTGCCTCTCTGAAGTGACTCTGCCAGCATGTTGTGTTACTTAGTTATTCCCCAGTTACACTACCAGTATTCTACTTTAAGATTCTAAAGCGTATATTTTAAGCTGATTGGTTACTCTCGTTAAACCCATCATCAGTGCCTGCTTAAAACCTTGGTTTGGTTTATTGGGTTACGTGTCCTTAAAGAAATACTCAGGTGGTTTGAGGGTGTGAGTCCGTGACTGTAATACATATGTGAGTCCGTGACTGTAATACATGTGTGAGTCCGTGACTGTAATACATGTGTGAGTCCTTGAGATGGTGTGTTGGTGTATTTGCCTCTTTGCTGTAGTGTTGATGCCATTGACTTAAGTGTTTACCTTACTGAAATACCATGCTGAAGGCACCCAGCTCTGTGTTGCACCTGGTCACATTGTACTGACATTGAAAAGCCAGTTGATTCAATTGTTCTCTTTCTCTAAATGCTGTATGTTTAGCAGGGAATAATAACTACCACTTTAAAGGACACTGGTATGTCCCAGCTAAGGACCCGTCCTCAAAAAGGGGAATGTTTTTTTTAATATTTTTAAAGTGGTAACAAGGGAAACGTTACAAAGTAGAAAGATCAGGAATAGAAATACAAATACAGATAGGATAGGGAAGGTAAGATCCCAACTGTTGTGAGGTTATACACATACAGATAGGATAGGGAAGGTAAGATCCCAATTAGTGTGAGGTTATTAGATAGGATAGGGAAGGTAAGATTCCAATTGTTGTGATGTTATACACATACAGATAGGATAGGGAAGGTAAGATTCCAATTGTTGTGATGTTATACACATACAGATAGGATAGGGAAGGTAAGATTCCAATTGTTGTGAGGTTATACACATACAGATAGGATAGGGAAGGTAAGATCCCAATTGTTGTGAGGTTATAAACATCCAGATAGGATAGGGAAGGGAAGATCCCAATTAGTGTGAGGTTATTAGATAAGATAGGGAAGGTAAGATCCCAATTAGTGTGAGGTTATTAGATAGGATAGGGAAGGGAAGATCCCAATTAGTGTGAGGTTATTAGATAGGATAGGGAAGGTAGATCCCAATTGTTGTGATGTTATACACGTACAGATAGGATAGGGAACGTAAGATCCCAATTGTTTTGAGGTTATAAACATACCGATAGGATAGGGAAGGTAAGATCCCAATTGATGTGAGGTTATAAATATACAGATAGGATAGGGAATGTAAGATCCCAATTGTTTTGAGGTTATAAACATACCGATAGGATAGGGAAGGTAAGATCCCAATTAGTGTGAGGTTATTAGATAGGATAGGGAAGGTAAGATCCCAATTGGTGTGAGGTTATACATCATACTTTTGTATACCATTATATACTTGTCAATTAATTTCCTGGTCATCGTCTTAAGTCCCTCCATCTTGACCAGACTGGTGGGTTATGTCCCTCCATCTTGACCAGACTGTCTGGTGGGGTTGTACCTATCCAGTACAGCTCTCAGGTTCATCATGCTTTTGTATACTATTATATACTTGTCAATTAATTCCCTAGTCATCGTCTTAAGTCCCTCCATCTTGACCAGACTGGTGGGTTGTGTCCCTCCATCTTGACCAGACTGTCTGGTGGGGTTGTACCTATCCAGTAGAGCTCTCAGGTTCATCATGCTGTTGTATACTATTATATACTTGTCAATTAATAACCTAGTCATCGTCTTAAGTCCCTCCATCTTGACCAGACTGGTGGGTTGTGTCCCTCCATCTTGACCAGACTGTCTGGGGGGGGTGTACCTATCCAGTACAGCTCTCAGGTTCATCATGCTGTTGTATACTATTATATACTTGTCAATTAATTTCCTGGTCATCGTCTTAAGTCCCTCCATTTTGACCAGTCTGGTGGGGTTGTACCTATCCAGTACAGCTCTCAGGTTCATCATGCTGTTGTATACCATTATATACTTGTCAATTAATTCCCTGGTCATCGTCTTAAGTCCCTCCATCTTGACCAGTCTGGTGGGGTTGTACCTATCCAGTACAGCTCTCAGGTTCATCATGCTGTTGTATACCATTATATACTTGTCAATTAATT